AAGTCAGCTAGGAGACCCATAGATCCTGAGGATATTCCAGTATCTATTTCTTCTGTGCCAGAGCGCATCAGTCATGATACTCATTTATTTGTTGTTCTGTTTGGTACGGCGGATCCTCGGACATATTATCCTAATTATCATCGACCAGTCGGTGCTTCCTCTACTTCACAGGCATTGCCTCCACGGCGCTACGAGGACATACCTTTACAGGTTATTCGTCAACCTTGATCCTTATCGGCAGGTAGGATATCGGATGGTACTCCATCTCCCACAAGTACATCTCTTCAGTTATCTTCCATGAGGATTTAAGATTCTAGTAGCGAGCAATCAGATGCTATGGCCGGTACGTCTTCATTGACTCAACGTTTTGTGCATCCTAGTGTATCATTTTCATCTACAGCTGCACCTAGTGCTACACCAGATGATGAGATGCCTGCTCTAGCTCCTGTCCAGAAGGACAGACTTGGTAGAGTCATGATTGAGCCGGATAGATCATCCTAAGTTTGTTTTGTTATCTATTTGTTAGTTTATTTTATTTATTTCTTATACTTTAATATATTATTCATGAACTAACATATTTATTATGTGTTTTGCAGGTGGCATCCTGCAAAGGATGTTGCCCGAGCTTTAAAAGATTATGTTAGAAGACTTTATACACAGGCTTATCACTCTTGGAATGAGATTCCAAACAGTATACGACAGGCGATGTTTAATGAATTTAAGGTATATATTTTTAGTTAAGTTTAATAATTTTAGTATACTTTACTTTTTTTACTATCGATCTAATTAACACTATTCAATTTTTTTCAGACTATGTGTACTTGGGAGTCGAGGTACAATTTGGTCATTGCGATCACATTTGAGAGGAGGGCATCCGCGAGACTGTCTAGCTGGCTAAAGAAAGTTCGAGATATTGATCAACGTCCGGGTTGGATGTTGCCTCATGTTTTTGATGAATTGCGTCAGTATTGGAACACAGATAAGTTTAAGGCAATGTCAGAACAAGCCAAAAAGGCTAGAGGCAGTCTTAAGGGTGGCTCGTTGCACACCGAAGGTGCAAAGACCATTGGAACAATTACAAGATAGATGGTAAGTTCTAATTCAAACTTTTAAATAAATCATTAGTTGATTCATATATATCGTTATAAGTTTTAGTTTTTATTTATAGGAAAAATAATTGGGGTGCACTCCCATTGGACCGGAGGTTTTCAAGAAGACTCATGTGAAGAAGAAAGAAAATGAGTCGGATCCGAATGTGTTGGTGGAGGAAAGGGCCGAACGAACTTTTGTAAGTTATTTAATATGAATAATATATATTAATAGTAAATATATTTATGGTATGTATATATATTGATGTCAATTTTTATATTTAATATGCAGAATGTGTCTCATCAGTACATCACTGAGAATCTAGATAGTTCGGTCCAAATGACACCTGAATTGTCCACCCAAATTTGGACAGAAAAAGTGGTAGGGGGACACACAAGAGTAGAGTCTATGGTCTAGGCTCTGAAAACGATGTAAGACGACTCCAAACAGGCTTACAAGGTATTGGATCGTCACGTCAAGCCGAGGCACTTGACGGGGTTCAGATTGCTGCTATGTCGGCTCAAATAGCACAACTTACATCGCCACTGGCAGAGTCAGAGCGGAGAAGAGTAGATGAACAACAAAGCATAAATGCGACTGTTCAGCAAATCAAAGAACAAGTGTTGAACCTCGCTCATTAGCCTACTACTTCGGCTCCCGAGGACACCAACGACGATAGTGAGGAGGAGGAGGAGGATTTTGTAGATGTCACTCCCTAGTTTAGGTCTCTTTAGAAACACTTTATAAGTTTTTGTATTGTGATTTAAATATTTTTGAAGATTGATTTAAGTTTGATGTTTTATATGTTGTGTGTGATGTTTACATTATATTGTTTGATTGGGATGGTTGAATATGAATTGAATTGAATTGAATTGATTTATATTTGCAGGTGGGCTGTAGAAATTGCCAGTTTCTACTGTCAAAAAATTGTAGAAAAAAGCGACGGACAGGGTAGTTTTGTCCGTCGCTTTTTTGCATTATTTTTTTCAAAAAAACCCAGAAAAGAGACGGACAGGGTCCTTTAGTCCATCGCTTTTCTGGGTATTTTAAAAAATTAATTTCCAGAAAAGCAACGGACAGTGTCCTTTAGTCCGTCGCTTTTCTGGGATTTTCAAAATATAAATTTCCATAAAAGCGACAGACAAAAAGCGTCGAGCCAAAAAGCGACGGACATGACTCCGTCGATTTTGACCAAAAAAGCGACGCAATCCATCGCTTTTGACCGTCATTGTTTGACAGTTTTTTAATAGTGAGGGTCACTATCATATCACTAATTATATATATCAGGGTGCACTTATAACCATATATACTTTGAGAAGCATGTTGCATAACACCTCGACCTTAAGTAATGCTATGAAGAAAAAAACAATATTGCAGAGGAATATAAATGTTGTGTACGAATTCTTTAAAGTCAACAATATGATTCTTCATTGAGTGTGTATAATAATAATTAGATGTTTTTAGTGAAATTGGAAAATTGGCTTGTAGCAATATTTTGCAAAAAATTGTTAGGACCACTCTACAAGAGAATATTATGTGCAGAAAATTGTTTTTCTAGTTATGTCTATTGTTGAGAATAGAGAGTATTATTTGAACATTATTCAACATACATATATAGAAGTTTATGTAAAGTAGCACTACTTGATCAACTTCTTTTGGAATTTATGACAAAGCCCAATGTACACAATCTTGTTTAGTCAAACTTACCACGTCAAATAGTCAATGGCGGGGCTAGAATTTTTAATAAGAGGTTCATAATCCAAAACCTAGACACACGAACTAACCGAAGTGGGTTCGATATCTACTATATATACATAAAAAATAACTTAAATCATATATAACTAGTAATATTTTCCTTCGAAGGGGGTTCAGAGGGTTGGCTCCGCCCCTGCAAATAGTAAAAGCAAAAAGAAAAACATTTACTCGATCAACTTTTTATTTTAGAGTATCGAAGTTCAATGACACTGATCACACCTATGGAAGAAAGAAACTATCTAGCATCCGGATATATCCCCCAATGACCGAATGACTTAGAGGGCATATATTCCACATAATGATCAGTGCAATCGGTGCATCTATTGGTAGAGGATTCAAATAAAGTAAATACTTAGCTTGCAAAAAGAATACCAGTCGTTTAGCTTAGAATCCTATATAGCTAATAGCAACAGATAGAGCTACTAGTAAGCAAAGGTGATTGAGAGCCAAAGGCCTCGTTAAAAAAATATTATATATATGATGAAATTAAACATCCAGTCTTTTTTTAAGTCTTTAATTACCTCGTCAAATAGAAAAAGCAAAACGTAAAATACCACATAAAACCCCAAATCAAGGTACGTAATTCATTTCTTGTTTCGATTTAATATGGATGATGTGATTAAATTATTGAAAAAAGAAATAGAAAACACGTCGTAATTGTACTATTCATGATGATTTTTTTTAAATTTTAATAATAAAAATATAACGTACTTTAAGAAATGAGATTTTCAGGACTATAAAGTAGAGTTTTTAGTAGCAAATAGTTCGCAATGAAAAGTAACATTTAAATATAAATGGGCGAAAATCATTTACACCTTTCAACTTTACTTTAAAAATCGTACTACTCCCTCAACTTTTCATTCGCCACGAAAGACAAAATTTGGTTGGAATTTATTTCTTGATGATCGCCACGAGTGTTGATAAGTTATTGTGTTGACTGAATTGTCAAAATAGAATTTTCGTGGAACGTTGATCTTTTTAATAGCAACAAAGTCACAACGAAAATATAAATAACAACCTTACTCTACGTTTTTTTTTTAAAAATAATAAGATATTGGTCATTAAAAATCCTCAGTCACTATAGAAGATTATTCTTCCGTAGCGACCCCTGGGATGTTAGTCAGGACTCAGGCCCATATAGTGCATGAAATTCATGCGGTTTAGCTATATGTTTTTTTTCCACATCAGTATGGTTCTTTTGATTAAAATAAACACTTCATTTGGGGTCCTAAAACCTTTGAAAGAGTCAAGGCCTAAAAAGAGGATGAAAAAAGTGATATATTTACTCCAACACACTATATCAAAAATGATTTGTAGAGGCAAATAATTAACGGTAATAGCTTAATTGTTGTTGAATATGTATTTTTAGCGGCAATCAACCTTCTTTGTAACTGTACCTAAAGTCTGTAACGACATTGGATTCAATGGTGGCAACTAACTAATGCAGATAAAAAATTTAACACTCTTTGTTCATGAATACTTTTATTGCCACTAAAAGCTATTTTACTGTAGTGACGTACCTAGTCTTTCTGCAGTCATAAACTCAACAAACATGGCAGCTAAATCACATGTCAGGACTGCAACTTTGATTCTACATTGTCATTTTGGTACAAATGCACACTTTCTTGACAAAGTGGTAAACACACAAAGAGAAACCAAATGTTTTTTTTCATACAACAACATTAGTATTATTAGAGTATTAGGATAGACCGTCTACATCAGGCTGCGATCCTTCTCTGGACCCTACGAGAATGCTCAGTGCACTTCACTGTCTTTTTACTATTAGCAGTACTACTACTTTATAATTAGCATGTAGATTAAAGAGAACATTTGTTCTTTTACTTATGTTTTTTAAAGTTGAGGTAAGTTTTGAAAGTAAAAGAATGAAAAAGTAAGTTCACTGCAAATTTGTGGAGTATATATTTAGTAAAAAGCAAAAACATGTGAAGCAAAGTGTCCAAACTAAAACTAATATAGAGGATTTGCCATTTCAAGAAATTTGGGGGCAGTGACCAAATAAATTCCTTTTCCCTCTCTTGGCAATATTAAGATTTTATAAGACCAACCATATGGTCAGTAAATTAAAAGTCTTCAAAAAATATGATAACCATTATTATGATATCTGATTCTATTAACTTAAAATTAAATTATCAACATCTTTATGACATATATATATGTGTGTGTGTTTTACAATTCTTTTGCATACTCAAAAGTGACTTAAAAGAACAAAAGCATGGTAAGGGCACCTTGTTGTGACAAGACCAAAGTGAAAAGGGGACAATGGTCTCCAGAGGAAGATGAAATTCTCAAGAATCACATCTTTAACCATGGAAATCCTGGCAGTTGGATTACCCTTCCTAAAAGAGCTGGTTCTGTTTCTTTACCTCTCATTTTTTATAATTTTATTAGTTATTTGTTTTATCGTGTTTTGAGATTTTGTTTTGTTAGCTTTTGGATGACATGTGATTGTTTTCGATTGTAACTTTCTCTTCTCCTATTTGATTGTTGTGTTATAGTCAAAGTTGAAAAGAGTTGTTAATACTTGAAATCATCGTCATAAATTCTGACTTCGCCTCTGATTAACAAAGATGGCATTAATTATGTTTTTTCTCTAAATCTATTCTTTTGCTCCAACAAACAATCTATATAATTTTCTTGAAGAGTTTTTCTTTTATTTGTTTTGAAGAGAGATAAAGTGTAATCTAGTCAAATGATTCATTATTCATATAATTAATTCTATTATATGATTTTCTCAATATAGTCTTTTCTTTTTACCTCCTTCACCTTATGTGTTGTTAGCCGTACAATTAATCGTAACATTACTCTTGTAGTTTGAGTTTGGTTAATTTTTTACTTCTAATATTGTATTATCTTGTTATGATTACTGGTCAATATGATTTGTCAGATCATTTATAATATTTTGTCATGACCTCTTCATTTTCATTATTTATTTCTTTATACTGTTTTGAATTATTTTTTTCTTTAAATTGTGGGTCTATAAAAAAGCAGTGTCTCTACAACCTTTAAGATAAGAATAAGATCTGTGTGCATACATTTTACTGCCCTTCAAACCGCACTTTATGTGTGTTGTTGTCCTTTAGTTGTTTTTACACAAAAGAGCAATGTACAAAATGCAGGGCTAAATCGTTGTGGCAAGAGTTGCAGGTTAAGATGGCTTAATTATCTTCGACCAGATATCAAACTTGGAAATTTTACACAAGAGGAAGACAACACTATCTGCTCTCTCTACAATCAACTTGGAAGCAGGCTAAATCTTGCTCTTCAACTAGTTTTTTATTTTATTTTCTTTCAAAACATTATTATTAGTATTTAAAAGTAACCCAAAGTTTTTAAAATTTGCAGATGGAGTGTTATTGCATCTAAGCTTCCAGGAAGAACAGACAATGAAATCAAGAATTACTGGAATAGCAAGTTGAAGAAGAAGCTTTCAGCAAGAAAAGAAGCAATGAAATTACCAATTCCAAGTAGTGACTCTGCTGATAAAAACATGGTTGAAACAGTCGAAAAAAATCCAAGATTCACTAATCAAGAGGAGGACCACTCCAAGAGTTCACCTTCCATCGAAGGATCGATGAGTTTTGGAACATGTTCTTCACCACTTGATGATGTTGCATGGTTTGAAAGCTTTTTTCCAATGGATTCCAACTCTAGTGATGGTATATGGAGTACTCAACAAGAAGAAATTGATGATTTCCCATCCACTTTGATCTGATGATTTGCTTGGAGATTGATGTTATGAAGTCATTGAGATGTGAAACAATATGTGAAAACACACAAAGGAAGTTTAGTAATATGTGGTTTAGTATTTAGGTGATTTATTAGTGGAATGTCAACTAGAAAAGAAACATGACATGTTTACATACTCTATTTAATTTATGGTTTCAGATAGGTTTTGGACCTCAACTTCTACTGATTGCATCTCTTTGTTTATGACCTTATACCAGTTAACTTGAGTAATGCAGCAGAAGTTGTGTTGTATTTCTATGACGCATAAGTTCTGTTGAAATTAAGTTATGCTTTTATAGCATAACCGGTGAGGTCTAAAACGATCAACAAAAAGTTCTATAGGAATTAAGTTATGCAGTACAACATAACTTGTGGATTTTAAAACTAAACTTTTACCTTGATCGATAACTTGTGGATTTTAAAACTAAACTTTTACCTCGATCGATCAACAAGCTTTATGTGGTACATCATAACTTGTTAAAACTAAGCTTTTGCATTGCTCAGCATAAGTTCAATAGAAATGAAATCATGCAATACAACACAACTTGTTATGTCTTTTACAACATAACTTCTGAAAAATTATTTGTTATTCGGTGTTAGGAATATTTTCGACCTGTTTTTTGTTACTAAAAGTGCTGAAGAGAAAAAGAAGAAAAAAATTAAGACTAAGGGTAAATATTAAACACTACCCCAAAATTGGTGAAGTATCATATTTGACTTAAATAGCTACCATTTGAATATTGGTGGTTAAACTTTAACACTGGTACTTTTCACTCACCTGAATTAAGTGCTTGTATATATAGAAGGTTTTCTGGCCATAATAATGTAAACAACCAAGTCTTGAAAATTCATTTAAAAGTATCTTAGAACATCTTTTTCATAATTCACACGAAAGTAGCATGCTTTTTCCCACTTCAACTTCACACAGAATGTAAACTCATCATCTGCTGTCATTTATACAGTAACTTCTGATCCTGCATGCATCCATAAGAATTCAAAGCTCCAAAGGTATATCCATCCACCATAAGAATACATCAAGCCTTTACGCTGTCTCGTGGGAGGCAACAAGAACTGCAAAGACACCAAAGAAGGGAGCAGTCAAGAAAGTTCATACAAAAAATCCATCAAAAAGACTGCAAAGACTCCAGTTGCATCATTGTGGTGATTTTGCTACTATGAATAGTGAAAATGAAAAGCGCGGTCCAATGATCATGAACTATCACTTGAAATCTACATAGCTTTGTCGTAACACAGCACATCTATCTGAACAAGACAGTAACTAATATCTCCAGCGCTTTTTTTTTAATACTCATTAACAGATCCTCCCGAAAAGCGAGAACTAATATATCCAGTTAGAAGCAGCCAAAAGGAATAGGCAAAATTGCAGACTACCTGTTTGCTGGTACAATTTCAGAGAGATTCTTGGTACTCTGATCTGTTTATGGGGCACTAAAGGTTCCTTTTCCTTCTTTTAAATGGGGTTTCCACGAGGGTAGAGAAAAAAGTGAGGGAAGAGAAACCTTTAGTTTGTTATCAAAGAGTCGAGAGTGGAATCACATTAGCAAACTGATAAGCAAATAGGAAGGCATCTAATTGTGTCCTACACATTTATCCTGTTATCCATACCCAGACAGGGGAGGTGAAAGTACATGAGTCGGACAATTTCTTTTCAATTAAAAAAATTTGAATTGCACAACAATCATACTTGCTAAGCCCTTATTGAATTCCTTCGCCAACTTGAGATCATTCAAGTTAGAAACCTAAGAGCCATATCAATCGATTAATATATAATTCACGCATAAGTGATGAAACTGGATACTAGTTACCACCCACGAAATCCTGACCCAGGAACTAGCTCTACTGCAAGCGCACCACAAAGGAAAAATATATGAAAACAAAACATAGAACTGGAAGTGTGTTCAGATTCTAAATATAGCATGTCTCAGCTGTAATTTGTGCATGTAAAAAGAAATATATCATCAGGTACTTAAAAATCCCAAATACACAAATCAGAGGTTCCTTGACTCAACTCTCAGTGACAACAGAGGAACGTGAATGGAAATGACCTGTTCAAAGAGCCATTTCAGCCTGCAAAGCGGCAAGCTCATCTTCTTCCGTCTTCTGAGCAGCAGGACGCACTTGTTGCCTGCCAGCAGGTAGATTAATTGGCGCATTAGGAGCAGTTGTAGCAGGCTGAAGGAGCTGTTCCTCCAACTCAGCCCCCTCCAGTTCTTCAAGTTCTGCCTCCAATTCATCCTGCAGAAAGATACATGTAAATTCTTGTCCTGAAAGAGTAATTATAAAAAACAAAAATGTAAGGAATAAGTCGGAGATACTTCATCAAAATCAGCAGCTGAACCAATTGGTGTTGACAATGCTTCCTGAATTAATTTCATATTCTCAGTCTGCTCATTGATCTCATCCATTGTTTTGTCGACATCGTCAATATTCCTGAAAACAGAATACATTAAGCTTAAATCAGGGACAAAACCCTGAGTTAAAACAGAAAACCATAACAACAAACCGAACTAATTACTAGAAAGTATTGGAGATTGATCTTGACGAATAAGAAACACTCAACTGATATATACAGACAACATGTAGCGTAGGTGTGGGTGATATGAAAAACTACCCTCATGTAATTAAAATATATGAAGTGTTATGGAATTCAAGATTATTCACATCTATTAAATCATGAAAGAAAATTATAAAAAGTCCTGACCTCTGGTGATTTAGTAATGATAGATCATATCTTTTAAAGCATGAAATAAAATTACAAAAAGTCCTGACCTCTGTGGTGATTCAGTAATGACCGATAATATCTTTTAACTCATGAAAGAAAATTACAAGGTAAATTTGATGTATTAACATGCATTGACCAAAAAGTCCTAACTTGGAGATCTCTCATTTCCAACTTTGTATTTTTCTTAAGTTTATCTCTGTGAAAAGATGTTTGCATCTACAGAAGAAAAAACACCACTAAATAGCACTGAGCACATAGCATATGAAACGTACGTTGCCTTTTGCATAGCTTTCATTGCAGCTGCTCCAGTTCTTAAAGCATCAACAGTCTCCGTTGTGGCTTTTGCACCTTCTAACATTATCATCTGAAACCAATACACAAATAAGTGAATGCAGATCGCCGTCTCTTCATGTTTTTATGATACACGGTGGTGCAAAGATTCCAAGATGTAGGAACACATGAAGAGCACCTGATCATGAATACGCAATTGGAAGTTTCCAAGCTGCTCGATTTGCTGCTCATAAAGCCTTTTCCTTTTCAAACATTGTATTGCAGCTAAAAATAAAAGAAATTGGTTACTGCTGTCATCAAACTCTGAGAATTTAGCAAGGACATAATGACTCAAAATACAAGAACATGATTCACAACACCATCCAATACTATAGTATGTCCTCGCAATGCTAAAGGCAGCGAAAACTGAAATTCATGTGCATGAGCGAGAATGATAACTATTCATTGTAACTCAAACCCAAGAGACTCGCTCGAGCTGGTATGAGCAAGTAAATCATGTTTGTTCCTTTACTTTAAAGTGGAAACATCCAGGACAATGAAGCAGAATATCCAGAATTCAAGCAGACCAGCTACAGTCAAATGCATTTTCATTGAAAGTGTCTCTAAGCTTATTATCTCTAACCATTTCTTTCAGAGGAAATAAATTATTATCTCTAATTTTTACATGATCTAAGATACCTCCAAAAACAAGTCAAACTTTTTGTGTCAAGATATCATAATTGTTCAAATGATTTGGGTCCGAACAAAGAGGAACACTTTCGAAGGATTCTACAATTGACCCCAATTTTTTATGAAATTGAGGCCCGGGTGATTGGTCAATCATGTCTTGAATATTGTCTATAGCATGAGAATTTGCAAAGAAAACCATTGTAACTTACAAGGTAAGAGAAAGGACATAAGTCTCTCGTATTGAAGGATAACTCTCCTAAGTTTTAAATATGAAATGCTCTTTTGAAACACTCCCTCTTTGAAAATAAGTAGATAAATAGTTAGAGAACAGTGAAGAAGGGTAGAGAGGGTGACCCATTATCCAATTAAAAGAAAAGCTTTCTAAAATAAAAAGAGGTTAGAAATCAAAGACCCATACCTTTCTTTTCCATTTTGTTCCTTCAAATTGTTGAATTGAAACATTAAACAGACTTTAAAGTTTAAAAAGAATAAAGGAATTTGTGAAATGACAAGGACCTCAAGGGATAACCTCATGTATCGCCCCAAATCCCCCAAGCAGAAAATCAGAAAGGATAAGACGATAAATTCATGAAGATACCAATATGCATGCTATATTTTTAACATACCAATAACATTAAAAAACCAGTACCCCATTATCACTTCATATTGTGAGATAATTTTTTCACCTGTTAACCCAGTAGCAAGTTCACCATACATAAACTACCTTGTCTCTCACACAAAACAGAGTCAAATCATCAGATCTGTCTGATGTTACTCGATTCCAGATATCATGCAAATACATGGGAAAAATTAACATTAAATACCCAGCAGTTTATTGTACATGCACAAGAATATTTTTCATGGTATGCTGCATCCTTAAGTTCATGACAATAACATATATCATAAGAAAACAAAAATATCAACGTAAAGGTATTCATAACTAGTAAACTACATAGGAAGAAGAAATACCATCTTGTGAATGATTTTCAGTAGAACCTACCCCTTTTGTTTTTTGCTCTAGTAAATTCCTTTGCTTTTTCAACCTCAGCTGCAGCCTTCTTCAGTAAAACCTTCTCCTTTTTCTCAAGCATCTCAAGAGTCTGTACAGCATAACCAAAATAACATTTAAGCCCTTGATCATTTACTTGAAAATTTTAAAATAAGCTAATAACTTTGACTGAAATTAACAAGAAAGAAGTTATTAAAAAACTAGTCCACAGAACGATTTAGAAAACAGGGGAAACAAGATAGCCTCCTACTTCTTCACCAAAATAGGAGGAAACAAGGACAATATGCCTAAGCCCCTCCGGTTCTAACTTTACATTTGTCTTCCTATATCAAATAAGTTGGTCCAAAAGTAAACCGTACCTGAGTTCAAATTGAAATAACATGAATAACTATCATGAACATGTTTGGCAAAGCGCCCACACCCTAAATGAACTTACCCTGAATTAAGACTAGGCCAAACCAAAAC